TAACACTATTACAACTCAAAAGCATATGCCCACTCCATATTATACCAGTAGACTTCTGATGCCATTATCTTATCCCATGTTTATTAACTATGCTTCTGGGCTAAGGCAGCTAGGAGGAATATGTATCGTAATGAACACTACAAACCCTTGGCATTTGTGGATTTTTACAATTACAATTTTACCTAGTTCAAGGAATCTAAGACATGAAGTACTTCATTTTTTGCCAAGTGCATTTGAACAATGACCTACCTAAGACTGGTATAAGAAAGAAGCTGATGGCTGGGAATGTGCCTGGCATGCACGGGGCGCTGGGTTCGATCCTCAGCACCACATAAAAATAAAGATGTTGTGTCCACCGAAAACTGAAAAATAAATACTAAAAAATAGGGAGGGAGGGAGGGAGGAAGGAAGGAAGGAAGGGGAGAGAAAAGAGGGGAGAGAAGAGAAGAGAGAAGCGAAGCTGATGGCCCTGCATCCCATCTTAACATAGCTTGGTGATTCTCTAGCATTCTATGGAAATATTCACTAACTTGATATTCTTTAAAAACATCAAGAGATAAGTCATACATAAATGCCTGCTGTATGTCTTAATTCCATTAACAGAAACATTTAACCACAAAAATCCTAAACTGGAAACGAAATCACTAATTTATACGGCTAAAGTTAAAAAAAATTATTAAGAAGAATTACAGAATAAGCTTAAAAGACATGAGAAGCAGCTAATCATGATGCTTCTTGTATGTCACACAAGCTAAACACAGCATGAAGTTTAACCAAAAGCTTTTTAAAAATGCATCTGTGCCCATATTCTCTGCCTTCTTCCTTTTAAAGATAAATCATCCTTTCTCCTGTTTAAGGATAAACCATTTCCTTTATGAGGCAGTCTAACATTGTACACATTACTTTAATAATCTTCCACTTTTTTTGCATAATCACTCTTAAAAATAAGCCTCGCTTGACCCTAACTTTCCCCTTCATCTGCCATATGTGTTTCTCTTCTGTCGGTCACCTGAATGCCTTCACCTTTTGTTCTCTACGAAGCTGTTCTTCTAAAAGTCATCAATAACTCCCCATTCGAAAATTCAACAGAATTCACAAGTCCAACTTCAGTGACCAGTAGAATTTACCATAAATAATCACTTCTCCTTCCTTGAAGTACTTACATCCCTTTCAGATATTCAGAGACATGGGAGTTTTTCTCTCACCTCACTGGGTTTTCCATTCCTAACCTCCTTTACACTCCCTCTCTTAATCCTTTTACTTAAGGTTCCCCAAGGATAGGACATAGTAGTTATATCTACCAGACTGTATTTAAAAGTTAACTTTTATACAATCTACAACTGACAATTTTTCCTTCATCCAAAACATCTCCCTTACCCATTTACCCTGTCCAAACTTTGAACTCTCCCTGAACCCAGGTCAGCGTCTCCTTAACCTCTCCACTCAAATATACAATTTTCCATGTTCAAAATCAACCTTCTGACCTTCTCCCAACTGTATTCCTTTTATAATCTTCCCCTTCTTCATTAAATGAAAGTTTCTCTCCTGTTACTCAAACCAAAAACACTAAATTCATTCTCCACTTATTGCTTTCTCTTAACTCAAATCCAACAAATCAGCAAACCCTGTTGTTCAAATGACAGTTTTCTCTCACTTCTAACATTCTACGTGGTGTCTCTGCATCTGCCCTTGCTACCTTAAAATCTGTTCTCAAACTGGCAATCAATAATAATTCTTTTAAACTACAATACTACTAAGGAAACTCCCCAATAGCTCTCTATCTCATTCAGAATAAAAGCCAAATGCAGGCATTTAAAAGATATAAATTCCGAGTTACTTTCTTAATTTAATATCCATTAGTAGAGAGTAACTGCAGTAACTGACCTTTAGGCTTTCCTTGAACAATTCAGCAATATTTTTGCCTCACAGCCTTTGTATATCTTATTCTCTGTGCCTAGACACTCATTCCCTCATGTTCTCCAGGTCTTTAATGTTCCCTTCTCAATGAGGCTTTCCGTGTACATGCTACTTTAAAATCTCTACCCCTCTCCCTATATTATAAACTCCCTAGGTCCCACTTCTTGTATTATTCTCCATCATAGAATCACTATCTAACCTACTACACATTTACTTATCTAGCTACCTGTCAACCTCTCTGCCTTCAAACATAACCTTAATCAAGTTAAGGATTTTTGTCTATTTTGTTTTCACTGTGACAGATTCTGTAACAGTCTTCAAGGGGTTCAGACTGATTTCAAATTTCTCCTTAGGAATAATAGGATAGCAGAAAAGATTTTGGGAGTAAATCCCTCAATGTTCTGAGGAAAATTATTTTAAGCTTAAATATTGAACTAAATCATCAATCAATTGAGAGAATAAATAAGTACATTTTCTAATATGCACAACTCAAAAAATTCATCTTCCACTAAACCTTTCTAAAATTTTATTTAAGTGAATCTAAGAATGAGGATGGCAATGGGATAAAAGAAACAATAACTAACACAGTAATACAATAAAAGAAATCTGAGAATGGCACTTCATTGAAAGGCCAAGGAAACTGGAGATTACTTAAAAAACAGTGTAGCCAACAAAATGTCATTTTGTGATTTAGGAGCCTGAAAGGACAACTGTGAAATGCTATCAATAAAAATAGAAGTATATCTCTCTTGTGAGCAATAAATGAAAATAATGGCAGTTTAAAAGTCTAATAAAAACAAACAAAAACTATATGCAAGGCAAACCATGGTACAAACGTGAAGCATAATGTAGTATAATTTTAAGCCAATGAAAAAAGTTTAAAAATCTTCAATTCTGAGGGGAAAAAAATGTCCACTGGTCAGCTAGCTCTGAAGAAAAAACAGAACTAAGTGATATTCTGGATTGATACATAATTGCTATATGAGAAAAACAATCACTATGTAAGAAATAACAATTACATATAATAAAATAATAAAAGTAGAATCATTTCTCTATAATGTTCTTAGCTGAAAGTCATTTATTACTATCATAAGGTATTCCGACAATCAAAAAATGGGGAAAAAAAGTGTTGACAAAATATGGAGAACCTGCAGCCCTCATACATTGTTAATGTGAATATAAAATAGTGCAGCCACTATATAAAATAGTCTTGATAACTCCTCAAAAAGTTATACACAATATTAAAATATGACTGAGCAATTCTACTCATAGGTATATACCCAAAAGAACTGAGACAGATATTCAAATAGGTACATGTGTACACATGTTAATAGCAGCACTAACTCACAATAGTTGAAAAATAAACTGAATAAACAAACTGAAGTATATACATACAATGGAGTATTAGTATTCAGCTAAGAAAAATAATTCAGTACCAGTAAGTGCTACAACATGGATAAAAAAAAAATGAAAATATTATGCTAAGTGAAAGAAGCCAAACACAAAATGCCACATATGATTACATTCATATGAAATATGCAGTAAAGCTACACCATGGAGACAGAATACAGACTAATAGATACCACAAGTGTAAGTAAGGCAGACTTTATAAAGAGAAACTGCTTATTGAGTATTTTACCTTGATGTTATATAAATGTTTTTGGAACTAGATAGAGGTAGTAAGTAGTAAAATATTGTGAATGTATTAAATGCCAGGGAACTAATTACTTTAAAGGTTGATTTTTATATTTTATAAATTTGAACAAACTATCTTAAAATAAAAAGATATTCTGCTTTTAATTCACCCTTTTCTAGTCTCATATTTGCAAAGTACTTAGAAGATTTCCATAATTTTCTTTCAAAGACTCTTGGAAACTAACATTTATGATTTTTGGGAAAAAAACATTTATTTGGAATTCACTAATCATTTAGGCTTCATTTCAGTTTCTTTTGTTAAATTCAAGTAAAAATAATAGATTTTATTTTCAAAGTATTACATTAGTTCATCTCTATATATTAGGATTAGGGATAATTTTTATCTTACTTCTAACATTTCAATATTTACCAAATTTTTTAACATAAAATATTACTTTTATAATCAGAAAAAATGCAATTTATTAAAAGGATAAAACATGAATGAGTACTTAGAAGAGACTATTGAGGAAAAGATCTGGGTTATCCAATGATGATACACAGAACTTACAAAGATAACAATGTTTCAGACCAAGAATGATTTGAAGGTATCAGAATACACATCCAATTAATGCAGATAAAAGGAAAAGAATACAGAAAAATGTACCTTACCATAAAGGGTTGATTGTATCCAGAGACTTATTCTCCTTTAAAATTCTGAGATATCACTATTTGTGTCTGTGCTCCCCCTACACTCAAACCCCAATAAGGGCTCTAGCCTTCCTCAATAGTTACCCTTCCATCAAGTCACTTGATAGCTTATAGAGAATGGGGACAGTGAAGAGAAGACAGACAAGAAAAAGCAGCTTGGCTGAGGCAGAAAAACTGTCTCATTCCCCTTACTTTTCCAACAAGTCAGTCATGAACAAACTTACGAGTAATCTAAAGCAGGATTTTTGAAATTGTACACTCGACATATTATTAAATAGGAAAATAAATTTAGTTATTGGCTTTAGCATGTATTACATGAAATATAAAAGAACAAGAGCACAAAGTACATCCTATGTAATTAGTATAAAAATTGCTTCAACTTTTTTTCAGTTTCATATAGGAACTGGCTTACAAATGTAAAATTTTTCTTATTATTGGCTATGGTAGGAAAAAATTGTGAACATGACCTGAGAAATTTTCAACTCTACATTTATCCTAATTTTTTTTAGAGGAGTAGGAAATTAAGTGGAGGCTTAAAGGATATGAAAATATTTGGGAAAAAAAATATCTATGGATAGAAAAAGTACAGCCCTGAAAATTGCTAAGACTGCTGGTGAGAAATGTTTCTTAAAGCTTCCACCACATATTTCATGGACAAAAAAATCTATACAATTACTATGGTAAAGGGTATTCACAGTATTCAATGTTTAAATGTATATTATGAATAAATAGATGCTTACCTTTCAGAAGAACTTTACTAATCCACAAATCTGTTTGATACTTGAAAATGCATGTTTTTGTTATGGTTCAAAGATGACACCAGCTCAATACAACAGATTTCACCAAATAGAAGTCTTGACTGGTAAACAGGAATTGAAGAGGAATCAAGATCTAGAGACCAACTGACTTCTCCCTCGACTGTTGGAAAAACATCTACCTAAAAAATAAATAAATAAAATAACTTCAATACTCCAATTCCAGTAGCAAACTAAAATGTTCCTATTCCAGTAGGGAACCCTAAACTAAACCAAACAATGCAAAATGGCAGGCCAAACAAAAATTCATGTCAAAATATTTTAGGCTCCTGTAGGACAAACATTACTCTACTCACTAATCACTTTCCATTATCTATTTTAACTCCAGGAGGAAAGTATCATTTTATAATACCAATAATAAAAGACATCTCTCTTTTTTTTTTTCTCTCTCTCTCTCTCTCTCTCTCTCTCACACACACACACACACACACACACACAGAGTCAGACCTCACTATAAAACAAATCACTTGTTATAACTTCATTTAACTTTCTCCTGAAATGACATACGAATCTACTCTTCTAACAAACAGTAAAATAATATATTTTAAAATGATATAAAAAATGGAAATTTGACATTTTGAAAACATGTAAAAATTCCATTAAAAATGGATTTCAAAGCATTAATAAAATATAAAATTAGAGTATGATTACATCTGTGATGACAAGTGAATATTATTTGAGTGGAAAATTAATTTACATAGCTTTTTCCTAGAGCAAAAGAAAAAACACATTACTTCATTTAGTAATGTATTTCCATAAATCATATGATGTAATCATATTTCTATACAAAATCCAAAATAACAACTAAAGTTCTTAAATAGACTATCCAATTTAAGTAAAAACCTTGTAATATAATAAATTACTAAACATATTATCATCCACCTCTAGATTTCATTTTTAGTTTATTAACATTCAACAACCTGTTAAGAAGTATTGGTGGCACACTATATGTGCAAAAATATAGCAGCCTTCAGGTAATATGATGTAAAATGTCAGTGGCAGACAACTAAAAAATATGATAGCAAATCGACCTTAAAATTACTGAGAGTTGAAAGGAATTAATTAGATCAAACACATTTTAGTATCATGTGCTCCTTAAACCAAATAACAGAAGTAACCCACTGGAAAAAGGATTTTCAGAAACTGTCTTATGGCATTTTAGATATTTCTATTTTATTAAATATAATTCATGTTTCATCTGTGTTTGTATTCTTGTTTGCAATAATTTATTATATTAAAATGCAGAACTTCTGGGCTCAGGATGTGGCTCAGCGGTAGAGCGCTTGCCTACCACACACGAGGTCCTAGGTTCGATTCTCAGTACCACATAAAAATGAATAAAGTATTGTGTTCAACTACAACTAAAAAATAAATATTTTTTAAAAATGCAGAACTTCCTATTTATTTATATAATTAATTGGTGCTGGAAATTGAATCCAGGGGTGCTCTTCTTATTTTGACATGATTTTGGCATGATATAGCCCTAGCTCTTATTTTTTTATTTTTGAGACAGTCTCAGTAAAATTGCCCAGGTAGCCCCGAACTTTTGATACTCCTCTCTCAGCCTTCTGAATAGCTGGGATTATAGGTGTGCACCAACACCTGGCTTAGCATTTCCTTATTTTAAACTTTCAATCTTATCTGAAAAGTTTCAAATGATACTCTTCTAAATTATAATATACATACAGAGAATATCTTAATGTTGTCACTGGATCTTTGCACAGCAATATATTCACATAACTTTTCTTCTATGGTTGAACCAAAAATTTCTGACCATTAAAATAAAATGTGTCTTTCTCATCTTTGCTTTGTAAAAACAGACCATTTTTGTCTCTTTAGAGTGAAAGTATTCAAATATCATTCGACTACTTTAAAATTATCTGTTTTATGATTAACGTGTATTTAAGTAACACTGAATATATATTGTCATACCACTGTCTTACCATTATTTAAAGAATGATGGCTATTTACCTCAAGAGGTATGACTATAACCAAAAGAAAAAGTGACTACAATCAATGTCCTGAGTAATTGTAATTTATTTTATTTCTAAATACATACTTTAAACCAATTATGGGCCAACTTTCCATTTCTTACAATGCTAGGGTCATTAATTACCCTTATTTTGACATAATATATTGAATATATCATGCCAAATATATTGAATGTATCATGTCAAATTGATATACAGTGAAGGAAACCAAGATAGGAGAAAAAGAGAGGGCATTATAGGCAAAATTAGGAAACACATATGATCCCCTGTACACTCAGTAAGACCACAGCAAACAACTACACTTCCTCAGCAATTCATATGCAGAACTATTTACCAGGCTCTCCATGAAGACTATACTGGCTCTTTTTCTAGTTATTCTCTTAGGAATGACATAAATATTGAGAAATCTAGAAATAGATATACACATGCACATATAAAAAATTATTGTCAGTATGTAAGTTACTGCTGCCCTGGGACTGCAATAATTTATGTAACATCTGTTTTCATATTTTTCTAATTTTTTCCCTAATTAGCATGCATATTTAACGCATAAATGCTCAGACCACCTTTTTTCTGCTGACTGTGCCCATTTTTCCCCCTGAAGTTGTGTACTCCTAGGTAGAATTTAGAATAGATGGAAACCAAAAGTTTATTGAAAGTACTAATTTTAAAATGTAAACAGTACTAAACTAATTTTCAAGAGAACACTGAAGTCTTAGGAGTTTTCACAAGTACATGTCAATCTGTCAGCAATAGTCATGTACTAAATAAAGGCCCAAATGAAACAAAAACAAATAAACAAAAAACCTACATAAAAGCAAAATTCCAATATTGTCTTAACTTTGAATTCTAACTTTCCTAAGAACTAAGAAACTTATTAAAATAGCTATGATTTCTTGTCTCGACAGGGTTGGTACAATTTTTAAATGTTTATGCCTCAAACAACTAAAATAAATGGACAAATCCCACATAGTAAATATCAAGATGTGTGTGACCAACCATCTCCTTTTTAAATTGTAAACCTCAAATACAATGCAGATTCAACAAAAGGACAAAGTTTTAGTCTAAAGCTTATGAAAGTTCAATCCAAGTTCTGGAAAGCTCTTAAATCAAAATATTACTTATATTCACTTTTAATAGAAAAAGTAAAACTAAAGGCAGATCAAATCAATGCAACCACAACTTAAGTATTCTCAAATGACAATGCTTAGGATGACAACAATGTAGCCCTATCTGAACTTTACTCCAGAATTAATCACTTTGTATATTAATTGCTTATTTATAGACTTTAGTCAGTCATTTGCTATTTGTCATCTACTGTCAAGACTATTCTGGGTCTTTGTAAACACTAAAATTGGGTTAGCCTTCAAGGAGCTTACATTTTTACTTGGGAAAACAGCACATAATTATGCAAATGCATAACTGTGAGATTTTTATACCAGGAAACGGGATTTAGTTCAGAGATCAGCAAAGGCCTAAGAAACAGTTTTAAGATGAGGTCTTAGTGTTATAGGATGTATTCCAACCTAGGGCACAGCAAGTGCAAAGGTCCAAAAATAAGTAAGACCAGCACATTTTATGTCAAGAAAGACCAGTTGCAACCAGAAAGGGAACATATGAGAACCAAAATGAGGCAGAAAAAGTAAGCAAAGACACTAAAGGGTTTTAAATAAGTTATGACAATCAACTCTACTTTGAAAAATACCACATTTGGCTAACTCACAGTGAGGGCCAAAAGGTGGCAGGGGAAGAGTCAAATGTGAGATAAGAATAACCTAAACAAAGGTGATAGAGAAGGCAGAAGAGACTTTTGTGATTACAATCAGCTGATCTTGGTGGGAGATTAGATTATGTAGAGGATGAGTATGGCTAGCAATTCCTTTCACTGATGTACTGAACTCTGAAAGAAGATAAGGCACAGAGGGAAAGAGCTTAAATTTAGGTTTAGGCAAGTTAAACAGTTTACCTGTTGCTGATGTCTCATAGGCATTTCAATTTAAATGTCTGCAGTTATAAGAAATGTCTGGGCTAGGATCAAATTTAGAATTTGCCAGAATATGAGCATTTATAAAAAATGAAAACCTATATTCTTTTCCCATCAGAAAAAATCTTCAAAAATCCAATGCCTTCCTAGTTTTTAGCTATTACACTATATCAGAATAGGGAAGTATTTCATATCTTGACAAACTCATTTAGGCTATTATTGGTTAATCCACACAGCATATTTGTATTTTATGTCTTATTTTGAACTGCTTAATAGTAGTTATCATTTAAGGAAATTATTTACTTTGAAATAGAATTGCATTTAGTACTCTAAAAATATACATTAAAAGTCATTAATCCTCACAGTAATCTTAATTATCACATCCACTTTTCAGATGAGGACAGTCAAGTTTAGGGAAGTGTAAAGTTACTAGTAAGTCACTAAATGATAAAGCTTCCAACTCAGGTTATCCGAACTCATGGTCCATGCCATGTCCACCTAAAATAAAGGGTAGTATGTGTAGTATCAAGAGTCTTGAACTGTAAAAATAGATCAATTTCAGTTACAATCCTGACCACAGAACACCACGTAAGTACTCTGATCTATGTTTCCTCACCTGAAATTCTTAGTAAAACCTACTGACATTTTAGGAAATGTAAGTCAAACATCTGAACTGACATACCCATACCATCACATGTTCCTCCTACCAACGGGGTGAGAGGTGCCAATGGAGGGAGGACTTAGAGGCTATTCACTGATCTTATTGTCCTTCAACTAACAAACACTGACCATGAAAGCTTTGAAAACTAAACAGCATGTGGAATGGCAGGCAGGTCATTGGGAACAGCTAATCAGTTCTCCTCTGCTCTTCTCCCAAGTAGCAAAAAACAACATCCATCAGAAAAGACAGAAGCCAAAATTCTAAAAACTGCCAGTGAAGAATTCAGCAGTGCTTCAAAACCTTTAGTGTGCATAAAAACCATCTAAGAAGCTTATCAAAGTGGTGATTCAGAAACAGACTGACAGGACAGATAGATGTGAATGGTGGGAACATAAAGTTAAGGAAATAATTCTACCAACTGGGTCCACTATGCTGACCCCTGCATGCTTCTTTTCCAAGAAGCAATTTACCTGCAGCCCTCCCTCA